TTTCGATTCTTGCGCGCGTGCACGCGTCCCGTGTTCAAATACGCGTTGTTGATTATTCCGAGTTACTATTTTAACATGGGCGATTACATTGTGTAAATTCGAGTAGTATTTTATATTTGAATTTCGAGGTTGGAGAATAAATTGTATGCGCAAAATAATCCGGCGACCCGTGCAATTTATTTCCCCATCGAGTCACCCGGCGGCATTAAAGCCCACCGAAGTTTGTTTTACACCCGGCCACGACCGTTTTACAACCTTTTATGGTGGCCCGATGAATGAGCTGAGAATAATTGAGCACGCGATTCCCGCGGCCGTTTCGTTCCTCGTTCGGAAGAATGAAAAGTTACGAGATACGGGATCACGAGGATTATTCAATTCTCGTGTTTCCTACCGCGATTTTATTATTCCCCGCTCTAAGCCTGTTCGACGTAACGCAAAAACAGATTTATTTTTTAATGATTTCTCTCACGGGAGAAACGAATTCCATGTTTATTGCGGGCGAGCGTGTGCGTTCGGCGCGAATATTCGAATATACGTGAACGCGGAACGGTGTTTGCTATTGATCAATATGACTGGAAGGATATTTATAATTACTAATCGTGCAAATATTATAAAGCAACAAGTTCATCGTGTCATTGGAACGGGAATGGTTGATGCTGTGCTGATTCATTTGGCGCGGGAGAGGTTCGAAACGTTTGAACGTGTTTGCTCGCGTGCACGACAGGTGGCGACACTTGCGCTGCTTATTAAGCTTTCCGTTCTATTTGTATAGAAGTCTTTGATTTTCCGGGGTTAATGGTTTGTTCAAACGGCTCTGTGAAATTGGACGAAGGTTTTGTGGGAAATGTGTAAGGTATGGAGGAATTAATTATTTATAGAAAGCTTGAGTTGCTCGCGATTTGTTTTGTTTTAGTTTTTGTACTATAAGTGTCGTGGTTCATCAATGTTTGAGTCGATTTCAAATGTAACGTTTGCCGCTTAGGTCTAGTTGCTGTTAGAGAAGCACATGTTTGATAGCTTGGCGATTATTAATTTGATTAAATATTATTTATTATTATGTATATTCTTGATTTATATAGCGATTAGTTTTTCCTTGGAGCATGCCTATAATTTTGTTACATTCGAGGATGAGTTGCAATGATATTTCATGAAAAATACTCTTTCCTTGTAGTTGGCCAAAGTTCAATCTCCCTCCATCTTAACAAACGAGTGATGAAAAGGAGAACCATTTTGAAGGCATCAATGTAAGTGTTCACCGATCAAAGTAGAAAAGTCAATTATTTGTACATTGCATGAAACCTTCTTTTATGTGAATTAATTTAACCCTCTATGGGCCGAATTTTTGTTCATGATTATAACAAAATCTATGCAGTACAAAATTAATAAATATCCACATATGAATACGAATTAACAATGTATTCAATAGTTTCAATAATACCATCAAACAAATATATTTTGTAACTTTCAAGTTATAGTAGTTAACTTTAACGAAAGAAAGTTTAAGTTAACTGGTTACTTAATTTTATTCACCACTTTGAGTGCAAAATGAAATAAATCAAAAAGATGCCAATATACTGATATGTAAATTCGAAGTCACATAGGCCTACAGAGGGTTAACATGTTCTACCGTTGCTAAATTTTTAACAATAATGCAATCCTTTTGTACCTATTCACAGAATAAGTCTTAAGGCAAAGAGACAATCTTACCAATATAAACTGAGAATGTTCTATATCAAGAGAAATTACTGTTTACCAAATTCGATGGTATTAAGAAATTTCATTGTCAACGTCGAAATGGAATCTTGAATCCGCCGTTGATTTCATGTAACACGTCTCTCGCTCCGTTTTCCGGTTGTCTCCGCGTAGCGCGCCAGGTAATACATATTACGGTTCCCTGTCACCGTTCCCAGCGTGGCTGAGGGATCACCGAATTCGATAAAATTTACTCGGCAGAAGGTAATGGCGTATGTTTGCCGCGCGAACTTCCCAGCTACCTTCATTTCCGGCCTGGTATCCTCCGTTCTTTCGCTCTTACACGGTCTATGAAGCAGACTTGAATCAAGTTCAGCCCGGGTTAGGTTCATGTCTCGCGCCTCGTCCAAGACAAAAGGAATCGCTATGGGAAAATTTCTCCCCAGTCCTCGGGAACCGTCTTTGCACACCTATCGCCATCTTGGACTCTTTCTTTGTATCGTTCCTCCTCGTTCCTATTTCTCCTCTGATACCGTTGAAGCGTGTAGAATTTCATTGCGTCGCTTGAACTGGGTTTAATAGATTTAACTGGATAGCTGCTGTGCCAGATTCTTGGAGGTTTGTTCGGGAATGATGCACTTGTAATAGGTACTTGAGATGTTTCTAATAATTGAATAATCAGTAGTATTTATGAATTTCATATGATTCATTTGGGTTTTTGAAGGAGTTCAATTATCATTTTACAGCTTCTGCGCATTAGAAGATGAATCTTTGTTTAGTACCTTTAGTACCACTTTAGTACCTTTGTTTATAATAGCTTATATCTAATAATTCCCTAGCAGTAAATGCACTGTCTCCTATAAAAGTTAGACATCCGTTAGAAAATAGTATTTATACTTATTCAATTCACAGTTTAAACTCGTTATTATGTAGATTTAACGATTCAACAAGATTCAATAAGTTTCATCAAGATTCAACATTCGAAGACACATATAGAAGTCAATCTAGTCTAACTAAGACACATAGGTGGAGGATGGCATTTGTAAGATGTTCGTGTTAACTTGTTTCTGTAGCTATGGAATAGGGTACATTCGAAACAGGTCTAGCAAAGAATAGTAGAAAATCGTAGGATCCATTGGTAGGTTTTCAAAGGAAAGCCTGGCAACTTGTCGCGACGGAATCGGCGGCCCACCTATTTTAGGGTGGAATTCACTTTGAATTTCGTCCCCCGGCAACTTTTTCCGTTCTGCCTTCCGCAGGACGTCAGTCTGCGTCCTTCTCCGCCCGGCCACCCGCCCACTCCTCCCCTCGCGAATTACCTCGTCAGAAATTCAACCCTCGTGCACAGCCATTTCGCAAATTCGATCTCCGTCCGCGCACGGTGGATGCGAAACGTCTCTGCGTACCTCGCCGCTGGGAAGTAAGGCGAAACGAAGAAGTCAATGGCATTATGTCAAATCGTTGACGCAATTTTGGCGAATAAAAGTTCCAACGTGTGGCTGTCGTACTGTCACGACTGCGGGTTGAGACTCGACAACGGGTAATTTGTTAAACGAGTAGAAATCTGAAGGAGGAAATTTCTTGGAGGTTTTCGGTTGGCTATTTATTAATGAGGGTTCTTTAAACTAGTACACATCCGAAGGAGAATATTTTTAAAAGTATTTTGATCGATTTTTTTAATAATTAATGCTAATATGTAACCGTTAGAATCTTCAGTTGTTGATGGTCTAGAATCTTCAGAATAGGATCAATTACATTGGCGGACATTTAATGGATTGCAAATGTTGGCGTGAACGACATTTGTAGATTATTTAGTGAAAATGGGATTTAGATTGAAATTTAGTTCTCACGTGAACGGTTGAAGG